GGTCTCTGCGGGGGTCCTGGGGTCTCTGGGGGGGTCTCTGGGGGTCGTTCCTCACCTGCTCCCTGCGGCTCCAGGTTCCCTTTGCCATCCAGGTAGGACACGTGCACTGCAGGAGAGGGGGGTGAGACCCCCGCCCCACCGGGCAGGGCTGGGGGGGTCCCGGGGGAGATTCGGGGGTCCCAGAGGGAATTTTGGGGTCCCAGGGGGAGATTCGGGGGTCCCAGGGGGAATTTTGGGGTCCCAGGTGCAATTTTGAGGTTCCCAGGATGATATTTTGGGGGTCCCAGGGTGGTTTTGGGGGGTGCAGGGATGATTTTGGGGGTACCCAGAGGGTATTTTGGGGTTTCCAAGGATAATTTTGAGTTCTCAGGGGACATTTTGGGGTCCCAGGATGGTTTTAGGGGGTCCCAGGGACGTTTTGGGGTGCCACCTCTGACAGCAGTCTTGGCGCAGCCCTTGGGGGTATTTTGGGGGTCCCTATGGATAATTTTGGGGGTTCCCAGGATGATTCCAGGGTTCCCAGGGATGTTTTGGAGTTCCCAGGACATTTTTGGGGGTTCCCATGACATTTTTGGGTGTCCCCACCTCCACGTTGCTCCAGCGCAGCGCTCGGTTGAAATCCTCCACGGTGAGGCGGCGGCGCCGCGTGTGCTTGAGGAACTGGGAGCTGTTCTGGGGACACGAGGGGACAATGGGGACAGCGGGAATGGGAACGGGAATGGGGACAATGGGAACGGGAATGGGGACATTGGGAATGGGGACAATGGGGACAACCGGGACAGCAGGGACAACGGGGACAATGGGGACAACAGGGACAATGGGGATAACAGAGACAGCGAGGACAGGGGGAACGGGGGGGACAGCAGGAATGGGGGGGACAACGGGGACAATGGGGATAATGGGAATGGGGACAATAGGGATAATGGGGACAACGGGGACAATGGGGACAAGGGGGATAGCGGGGACAATGGGAATGGGGAAATGGAAACGGGGAAATGGGAATGGGGACAATGAGGAAAACGGGGACAAGAAGAACGGGGACGGGGACAATGGGAAAGGGGAAATGGGAGCAGGAATGGAAATGGGAAAACGGGAACAGGGAAATGGGAATGGGAATGGAAGTAATGGGAAACAGGAATGGGAATAACGGGAATGGGAATGGAAATGAGAACGGAAATGGGAATGGGAACAGCGGCAGGGAAATGGGAACCGGGAAACGGGAATGGGATGGGGGAAAATGGGAATGGGAACAAACAGGAATGGGAATGGGAACGGGATCGAGAGCGACACCGGGAGCGCTGCTGGCTCCGGCACCCGGGAAACGCTCCCGGGACGGCACCGGAACCGCTGGGCGGGAGCGCGGCCGGGACTGCCCGCGGGTCTCGCCGGTAACCCCGGTAAACCCGGTACCCTCCGGAAACCGCGGTAACCCCGGTAACCCCCGGTAAACCCGGTAACCCCCGGTAACCCCCGTAGCCCCGGTAGCCCCAGTGCCCCCGGTAGCCCCGGTCCCCTCGGTAACCCCAGTAACCCCGGTAACCCCGGTAGCCCCGGTGCCCCCGGTACCTGCGTGGCCTCCCGCAGCCGGTAGCACACGTCCTCGGCCAGCAGCGCCGCCACCTCGTCGCTGAGCTCGACGCCGGCGCTCTCGGCCATGAGCCGCACCGAGTCCCGGGGCAGCTCCACGAAGCGCCGCTCCTCCCGCTCCGCCATGGCGGGGCCGGCCACGCCCACGAGGGGGCGGGACATGCAAATGAGCGCAGAGTGAAGAGTGCCGGGAGCCGGCGCGTGGGAGGCGGGGTTATGCAAATGAACGTCCGCGCGGGGGATGCCGGGAGCTGCCCGGAACTTTTCTACCCGGAACGTTCGCGCCGCGCTCGCGGTTCCCGCGCCGGAAGGGCCGGGAGCGCTCCCAAGATGGCGGCGCCCACGCGGTTGTGTCACGTTTGGGTGGGGGCCGAGACCGGAGTTCTCAAAGGTGAGGGGGGGTCCCGAAGGGTCTGGGGGGGCTCGGGAGAGCC